CCCTCCGGCCTCCGCTCCCGCGTCTCCCGGCACCATGCTGTCCAACTCCCAGGGCCAGACCCCGCCGGTGCTGTTCCCCAACCCGCCGCCACCGCCACAGCCCCCCGCCCCGGCCCAGCTGCCACCGCAGATCCCGCAGCAGTTCCCCCAGTTCCACGTCAGGTCGAGCCTGCAGATCAAGAAGAACGCCATCATCGACGACTACAAGGTCACCACCCAGGTCCTGGGGCTGGGCATCAACGGGAAAGTTTTGCAGATCTTCAACAAGAGGACCCAAGAGAAATTCGCCCTAAAAGTAGGTTTGGGGCCCGGGGGAGGAGAGGGCGGGCAGACGGGGCCCCCAGGGACGACACCCCGGCGCCCGGGAGCGGGCGGAGCTCACCGTCGCTCAGCGTGACCGCGCCGACCCCTTCCTGGGACGGGGCGTCCCGGCCGCGGCGGGGCCGTGGGTCCTGGCGCCACGGGTGCCAAGTGCGCGGCAAGGGCGGGGGGCAGCGAGACAGTCAGGTCCCAGCCGACCACGCCGCGGAGACCGCGTTTCCGGTCACCTCCCGGTGTGAGTGGCGGGGCCTCGAGAGGACTCGTGAGGACTCTGCCATTTTGGGGTTTGAGCGGGATCCAGCCGAGTCGGAACTGTTGGCTTCGGGACCACTTCTGCTAATTTCACCGCGTCTCGAGGAAGTGATTTTCGGGTGTTGTGGTTCCCCGTCCTCTCCTCCCTCCTTCCTTTCAGCGGGCACAAAGGACCCATTACTCATTGAGCTGGTTGGTCCGTTGGTTTGGAGAAGTCGGATTTCAGAGGTTTATTTAGCCTCGCTCCTTATTTGGGAGCCGGAATGTGTGATTTCACTTCCCTGGGCCTCGCGAGTGCGGCGGTGCCGCCTTGCGGCGCGTGGGCCCGCGTGGTGGGTGCAAGGCTGGGGATTCCGATGGGCCACCGCCCCCCGGAGAAGGAGGGATTGTTTTGATCCGAGAGCTGGCGCCCTCCTACCTTCAGTGCCTGTGAGGCTCCAGATGGGAGGCCAGCAGGCTCCGGCGCGGCTTCTGTTTCCATAGCTCCATTGATCATTGTCAAACCAGTCTGGAAACCACGCTTGGCCCGGTGCTGATTCCGCAGATCCGAGGTGGCCACTTGAGTCCTGGACATGCGCCATCGGTGGACAGTGGGAGGGAGAGTTATCCTTGAGTTGGGGAAATCCAAGCTCTTATTTTATTTTATTTTTTTTAGGACTTGTGGTAGAGGGAGAATGGGAATTCAGTGAGAATACTTACTTCAGAAGTTAAACAATGGACTCGGAGGTCTGATGAGATGAGTGGGTGGGTCCCCAATGTGGTGGGAGCCAGTGTTCAGAGTCACTAAAAAGATTTTCCCCTCAGAGGGTTTTCAGATCAAACCACATCTCTAAAGGTGACACATCACGCCTCTTTCCCCTGAGGTGTCTTAATGATTGGAGGAGAAAATTACTTCCTGTGTTATATTTCTCTCTTCCCCCTCAACCCTCATGGCTAGTTGTATTTCAGCTATTAATACAAAACTCCAATATGTGTTATGGGTAGAACTGTTGGAATATATAATTAGATGTAATAAAACCTTGGTAGGTACTTCAGGGTTTTAGAGAGCAAGCATGTCCAACTTCCAGATTTTAAGGCCTCTAAAATTATTTTCTTGCTGCTTTCATTCTTTATTTTTCGAGAGAGGTTTCAACCAGTCCCCATATTGTCAGATTTATTTGGTTTCTACTTTAAGGTGTTGCTCTGGGCTTTTGGTTGTTGTTTAATGTTGGACTGTTGGAGAAGGAATAGATTAGCATCTTG